TTTATCTGATTGTTGACTGAGCAACGTGATATGTTTGAGCAATTACGTTAATGGTTTCTTACCGTAGATATACTGCTGGGGTTTTGTCGCAATTTCTAATATAAATTTTGTATTTTTATTTTACTGTTTCTGTTTTACATTTCCTTCAGAAGAGACACTGCTTGATTGTTGATTTAACTTTGTATACTAGCGGCTTCAATTATTTAACTACAGCTTCAACTTGTCATGCGTCTTCTACCTTTTTATACGGAATAGATGAATAGAAAGCTCATTACTGTTAAATTAGAGTCTCTATTAAAACGGCATTATTTAATGTTGGATTAGTCTTAATGATCTCAGTGTGTATTAATATTATCACACTATGGAACAAATTGCCAAAAATCGTAGACTGCTTTAACGAATTTCTCCGAAGGAAGACGATTTATATATGTTTCACTTTTGATTTCATGGCTCTAGCCTACATGAAATGAAATAAAAAAATAATAATGCTATAGGATCACACAGATTTTACACGTACCAAAAATGTATTGATCGCATATCTCAACGTAATACAAAACCAAATGAAAATAGTATCCATTCACTCGAGAGTAATATCCGACCGATTCCATTCATTCGAAAGTGACACCTCAATCATTCTGGCTGAACACTCACAAAAATGCAGATCGTATGTCGCCGAAACATTCCTCGAAACTACTCGTATCACGACATATTCCAACGAACCTCAACAACTTCGTGACAGCATCGAGTCATTCAATCGAATCGATTAGAAAAAACAAAACAATGGCATCGTGCGAATCGTCTACAAGTCTACATGTTATGTGTATTACGTGAGCGAAGCCCGCATGGCAACCGCCATTGTTCGAGATAATCGATACTGTAACGTCGCGATCAATCGAGATATTAACGGGATTAGGGCAGAAGGTTCGGTCGTATCCATAAAGTGTGCGTCGCAAAAAATAATGAAAAGAAGATGGGTAGTAATAACTCGTATGTGTATTACAAGCCTGCCATTCCTTTATTAGTCTCCAAAGCAGTCCATCACGTTCTATATTAAATTCTCAAATAGGTTAATGAATTATCCGATTTTTTGGTAAGGTTTTTCGCTGTTACAAAACTTCAGACGACCGAAGATTAGACGTACTATTCCATTAACGGCACTAGCTATATGACAGAAGTGTAGGAGATTACGTCAGTTTTGCACTTAAGTCTACCATCGAAATTACTTGACATTAGCACCTACGTTAAAGGAATATCAGAAAATGTAGTAGTAAAAAAATCATGCCTAAACAACCTTATTTATGCCTTTAAGAAGAATATATTTAACTTCTGCAATTACCTTTCTGACGCATTACACAATTAAGCGAGTACATTACCCGAGCGTTTGGCCGAGTCAGCATCGATTGCGTGCGCCAATTAAACTTCACTATAATCAGGCAATAATGAGCTCGGTGTTTATAACCTGTAGGAGATCAGACGGGTAACTTTGCTGTGCACCGTGTAATCATAAATTATTAGATATTAACTTGGACATGAGCAAAGGTATGCTGCAGCGAAAGAATTCAGATTCCCGTGAGAGCGTGTGATAGGACACCGGGATTGTTTTAATCATATAGAGTATGGTTGACGAGTGAAATATTATAGTTGTATAGGTGAATCCTAATCAATTTTGACCAACATTAAATTGATCATTGATAAACAATCTTGTTGGTAGTCTTCAAGTTCTGCAGGCTGCCTTGTCTTCAACCTTCAAGTAGACATAAACATTCATAATATTCCATCCATATCATTTTCCATTCCATTAACAATAAACCGAAGCTATCTAGAATATTCTAGAATTAATTCAAGTTTTCTTAGCGTGGGTATTATTCAGTACAGAAATCTCGAAACTACTTCACTTCGTCCGCAACTCTCCACCCACGTAACTTCTCTCCGCAAATGTATTTTACCGTTCACAGCATCCTTTTAAGATACTGCTATTGATTTCAGATCGAATAAAAAACAGTTCTTTTGTTCATTTTTCTCGTTTACTGTAGAGATCGCGGAGGAATAATGGAGTGTGGGTAGATTTATTAATGGAACATTTTCTGCTGTAACTTAGTTGGGATTATGAATGAGTTTGGTTAGTTTTTATTAAAAAAAATGTGATAGTTGTCATAGTCAATGAACAATAAGGTAATAGATATAACACTGAAATGAAAATTACAAATAGGGCTGAGAAGTTCATAACACAAGATTTTAGTTGTACAGCCAATGAGGGCTCACGTCCAATCACAGCAGCTGTCAAATATTGAACGTCCAATGGTGTCACATTAGCTAATTTCCTATTGGACGAAGAACGAGAGGTTACACTAGCACCATTTGGCGAGCAAAAATACGGTAGGCCCCATTAGATCCACATGTTTTGTGTAGGCGTACCTAAGTTACAGCTACTCATTTAGCCATTATTCTTAATCATTCCCTTAACATGCTTAGGATAAAGCTGCCATATGTTACAGTGCGATACAGGTAATATAAATGGTACTCATTTTACTTGATAAAGTACCTGCTTCAACCGCCTACACAAATTATGAAAATGTTTCTTTCTGGCTGATGTGGCTTAAGCATGATTGTCAGCAAAAAATAAACGTTGGCATGCACGAGTATAACGTTTCGTTTGTTTTTGAGTGCCTTTTGGTGATAACCTGCTTGGTTGATGATGAAATTATTCCCTTTTATTTACTTTGTTCTCTCTTTCATTAGTTTTTAGTCTTGGATTGTAAAGTGATGTTAGTATATTTTCAGTATTGTCTTTCTTCTAAGTTGTACTTCTTGTTTGTGTTTTTATAGCTATCTTAAAGCTTTGATATAATACCAAATTCTTACCAACATGTGTACCAAAATACTCGATTCGCTGTCGTATCATTGAACGACACACTTATTTCTTTTGACAAAAAAAAGCACAATAGTGTTCTCTTTACAAAGGACGTGTACCTGGTAGATTTAAGAGTAACAAAAGTATATATTGTAAGGGACTACATTTTCCTTTTGAAGTGAACGCTTGCCACCACTCAGCCGAAATCGATCCTTCTGGAAAATTTTGCTTTGCAGACAAACTTGTGACAAACTAAGGAGATTACAAGATTTTGTCCAATACACTTTAGGACGTAAGTACGGATAAGATCATAAGATTCTAAGACTTTAAAATGCGTATAGATTGCTTATCTGATATTCTCTGGTGAATTTGTCGTGATCGAATCCACATCGTTTGCTTAGCTGCCAAGTTTCGTGACGACTAAACTAATAAGAGGGTATGATAGTATTTCATGTATAAATTGGCAATACGTCCTAATTTCAAAGGGACAACGAACTGAAATAAATAATTACTATATTCTACTAAAACCCAAAGATTTTATCTCCTATTTTTTCTAAAACTTTACTCACATACATGACCTATATTCGGTATTACCCTATCTTCGGTATTTCTTTGTTACATATCACCTTTTTCGGTACATATCACGATCTCTCCCAATACTGTGAGCTTTAAATTCCATTAGATGCGTGTTTGAGTGTATTTCCATAAATTCTCTGAAGCCCGATATTCATGAGGGTGTCGTGTAATGTTCCTCAAATGACAGCTGGTGTCAACATCACTTTATAGTGTAGCTGTAGTTCCCTCCATATTGTTATCAAAGGTAATTTATTGGTAGTGGGGAGCTTCACGTACCTCTTGTTTGTTGAATTTATTCAGGAAAGCTTGTGTCGATTTCTCTTTTACTGATGAAAACGACAATCTTTTACGACCAAAAGTCGATAATATCTTTAAAGTAAATATTATACTTAGCTTCTTTTAATGTGGCTTTCCGTAGATAAGATGCGGAGCTACATCATATTATATTTTATAGCACTTTTAACATACATCTTTGTCTGAACCACACTCAAAATCCAACACAATATATCTCAGAAATAAAAACCATATAACATCACCTTTCATAACGCAAAAACTCTTGAAACGGGACCATTATTTATCTACAAACGAGAACTCGTAAAAACCGTGGGTTCTGACGCGTATATACTTATATGTTGTACATTCCCATAAAGACGTCGGTTTGGTAAACTGAGGCACGTGTCTGAACGTGACCCGGAGGAATCTACACTTCACAGGGAGGCTCAGGAGGGACTAGAACATACTATGTATAAAGTAACTGCCTTCCTCAATAACGTAAAGAAATTATTTGAATTGGTTGCTGTTTTGAGTTAGCTTGCAACATTTCGATTGCTTTTGTTTTGTTGGTGGGTTTTTTTTATAATGGTATTCTATCGCATTTCTGTCTTGTTTATGAACAGTATTTGTTGATCAAGATACAAAGAAATAAAAGTAAGTAAAATTGGACCGGTTATGTGAGGTTCCGGGTTGTAAGAGTGTCGTTTTCGCCTCATCAAAGGCGAAAGAAGTCATGGAGTGATTTTCCCCCTTAGACTTTAACTTACCGATTCTTATATGGGTGAAAAATTAGATAGATTGTCAGTCAAAGTCGGACAAACATCATAGTCGTCATATAGCGGTTATGTTATTTGCCCGAAAATACTCATTTTACTAAGCCAACACGTCCTTAATATATTACTTCGGCAACTGGCCCGGTCACTGTTCCCACGGCTCTAATTAATAACTTTAGAATTACTTGGGATCCCTTTCGTTCTGTTTGGGCACGATACAAATTACAACTGACAGACCTCGGTTAATCTTCTACTAAATTTCCTTTCCTACATAGGTTAACGTCTGTCGGTTTGTATAATTGTTTGGGCATTTCTCCTCTTGATTGTATATTATTCTTCTGTTCTAAGTTAGTTGATGTGTATTTAATATGTAGTGACTTCTGAAACTTATTTCTGTTTGTAGGTTTTATTATGGATCAATCAATAAACACTCAGGCATTACAACTCACAGCTTTTTATTAAGTATCATAATTCGTTAAATCAAATAAATGTCCTATCACAAAATATTCTTTTATATCTAAAAAAAACGGCATTACACTAATGCCGGTACCAAACCTGACAGACTCTCATACGCTTTACTTTTTTCTGCAGTAAAAGCATGGCATATAGGAGGGCTTCAGCCGTCGGTGGACAGCCTGGCACGTATATATCGACCTGGAAATTTATAAAGGTTGTTTAACAATCTTATTTTGGGCAAAAAGTTAATATTGTTTGTATTACATCATCATTTACTTCTTCTGGTTCATGGATAGTTTATAGACTTCCAAATTAATCATTCATTACACAGAAAAGGAATAAATTACCCACCGGTATAATTCTATCTGCTCCGCGGCAAGTGGAATAAGTGTAATAGTAATAGCCACCCCCATTGGCACAAGTACCCATAGACACTACCCACTTAGGGTCCGGCATCAAATCGTACGTTTTACGTAAAATGGGAGCCATCTTGTTAGTGACAGTACCAGCGATGATAATCACGTCTGTCTGTCGTGGTGTGCCCCGGAACACCATACCGAAACGATCCATATCGTACCTGAGGAAAATTGTTTAATTATTTTTGGTACAATGCCTAAATGGCTACTGATACTTTGTAATTATTATATGACGATGATAGATGTTTGATAAATTGCATAAATTCTATAGCATTCCATTAAAAATAGATTCTCCGTAAACACATCTTGTTGACTTTGCCGTACAATGATATTTGATGGGAAATGTCATGTTTCAACCTTTAGGGGTCAAGTCGTGGATATTGAGAACATAGCCTCGTACAGAACAATGGCAGTCAGCGCGAACTCGTGACGGGAACCCCTGAACCTCCAACTCCTCAGAATTTAATGGCGCGGAAAAGTTTACAAAGCACTTGAATTATAAAGCTGTCCCTTTAATTTATTATGGAGGGAATGGCCGTTTTCCCTTTACTTAGTTCTGATTTCAAAGTATCTTTTGTGTAAACAAAGAAATGTTTTGCAACTACAGAAGTAAGCGCTATTTTATTTAAGTCCTTGAAATAAAAGGCATTTTGCCTAATGGAAAGTGATCCCTGAAATTTTCCTATGTTCTATTTTAATAAGCTTCTAAGATTGCTATTATACGTTTCACTATTAATATAATGTTTTGTTTTGAACAGTACTTTAATTATGCAACAAGTAAGTTCACGTAACTAGGCCGGTAACCGTGCCCAGCATACCTTGGCCGTCTCAATGAACCGATCGTATATCTGTAGTGCGGTTTTATGCCTGAGGTCTATAGTTGTATAGTTATACCAATCTGTTGATGACACATTTTATAACTGTTGACTTTCTTCCATAAAAGAAATTATGTAAATGATTACCTGGGTCCAGCATAGTGCATCATCTCCAGCGCACAGCACGCGAGCCCAAAAGTTATCGGCCATAAAGAATTCCTGCGCCCCCAGTTGAGGATGTCATCTGCCCGGGCTATAACCCATTCGAGCTTAGACTAGAATAATACGATTATTTGTTAAATATTTTAAACTAGATAGACTAGGCTATGGATCAATTGGTTTGGCCCTAATGTCTAAGTTTCTTGAGACCTTTGAAAAGGAGAGAAAATGTTTAGAGAAGATCTGGCGACAGATTAAACCAAGAATAAATTTTTTGGAAGATGGTAAATGAAAATATTAAAATACTTATAGCTTAAGTAGGAGATTATTTAATGAAGTAACTATATCTTATACTATTATATAAGGCGGAAGAGTTTGTTTTTTTGTTTGTTTGTTTGAACGCACTAATCTCCGTAACTAACTACAAGTTTGATTTGAATAATTCTTTTTGTGTTGGATAGCGCATTTATCGAGGATGGATTAGGCTATAAAACATCACGCTACGACCAAAAGGAGCTGAGCAGAGCGTGTGAAACCGCTCGGAAGTAGCTAGTATTTAATAAAAAGAAGAAGAATATATCCAAAAGAACCTAGTCTCAATAAGTTATTTGATTAAAATAAAAATTGCACTGCACTCGTGAGGCATACAAAATGTGCTGAAAATGAATTATTATCACAAATATTGGACATCGCAATCACTGATGCAATTTATTTTTGGCATCAGAATTATTGGAAAAACTTATCAACGAATATCATTATGAATATTGATGAAAATTGCGTTCAGAAAATTGTATTAAAAACTCGATTAATATTTTAAATTAAATTCAGATTTTACACATTTTCGATGAAAATGAAATTCGAGTCGTAACTGGATTATAATGTTAATTATGTATTCAATGTTTCATGTATTTTATCTTTACACTAGAGATGTATGTATATAGGTAAGCTTTTATATAATAACAGTTTCTATATTTAGCCCCGGCTTCACCACCTCTAGTACCTGATTCACTTATGTGAGAGATATTTCATATAAATTACGTTCTTGATTCGAATATATCTGTTAGATAGCGGCTATCCAAATATTGTGAAATAGGCGCTAAATCTTCTTTCCTTATATATTTCTCTGAAACCATCATTGTTCTTTTGATTTTCCTCATAATTACACTTGAATCAATACGCTTTGTATTATTTTATTTAGAAAAATGAATATCTTCTTCTCATAAATCTAAGTTTGGTACATACTCCAAAGTAGATAATACAATATTTACCACAGAAATATTCAATTGATATAAAACCTCGTGGACTAAGAAAGAATGTGACCGAACGTCTACGTGTGACTTACCTAATAAATGTCTGAGCCATTCTGTCTTTGGAATATTAAGTGTATCATTACTATAGAAGCAGTAGTATCCTGGATGATAAGCTAATGTTAGCTAGCTGGCTAAATAAACACAATTTTTATCTCAAATAACAAAAGAAATGGTAAATGTTGGTCCAACTTTATAACCGCACCAGGTCATCCACCAATATTTGCTCAAGATGTTTATTAATGTATGGAATCCTAATGATGAGTAATCTGCAATGAATTACAAGCGCACTGACGTAAGGGATTCCTCAGTGATTTGTAACAACCTTTCTATAGAAATTCTTACTGCAAACAATTTTATCAAATGCCACTGAGCAGACAAAGGACCAACTTTAATAGGACCATAATTTAAAGGGAACAAAGTTCAAATTACATAACTTTCTATACGACATTAAAATTGCTTTTCCCAAATAACTGGGTTTCCGTTACACGTGTAAAGTTAATACGAACGCCATGCGCATAGAAATCTAAACTTGAATTAGTTTCATCTCAGTTTCATTAGTTAATTGCTTCAGTATACCAATCAAATTGAATAAAACTGGGTAATGAAAACCTGAAATCCAACAAGTTTGATCCAATTCAACCTTTACATCACATCTGCAGACTATAACTTACTCTTTCTTAAATAGGTACTTTATCACTTTGTAATATAGTTGAAAATCTACTTAACAGATTGGTGCAGGTTGATATGCTGGCGTGTAAACTTGCTGTAGACATATGAGACTAACAAGGGCATGATCTACCTCTGTCTGTACTTATAGAGTTTCCGCTAATGAGGACTATTACGCTTCAACTCACAGTTGAGGGTGCTGGTAACGAACAAAGTCCTTCAAATTAGTAACCAATCTGAATGATATCATGTAAAGTTAGGTATTCAAATTAGACAGGACCAAACTCGATAGTGGCGCCACTAAAAGTGCACTAAAGCTTAAAATCTTAATGGATTTTGTATTATAATAAAGTTATTCTTTAATTTTAGTAATCAACAAAGCAAGTAGATGTCGTTTACTTCCTTCGACGGATTACAAAGTCAATAATTCCTTTATCGTTGGACCTCTATATTCAGTTAACGTAGTTATTTCACTACAAATACCTCAGTGTTGCAATCTGAAGATCTGATAAGGGATTCGGACTTCGGTTGGCGGATGTACGGATAGTTTCCAATCGTGTGCTGTAATTGGAACGTCCAAGTTTGTAGGGTTGTCAGGACAACGGAATCTTGAACGAATTTATTTAAAGACATGTATTTTTTTAAGTTTAACTGTATTTAATATTTTTTTTACAAAATGGCAGGATTTTTGTCAAAACGAAAACGGAGTTGATAAAAGTGCTTCAAGAATACTTCTTACTTCCCTACCTATTTTCTTACTCTGTAGAGTTCTGAATTAGTTGTGTTCTCTTGTTTGCACTCACGTTTTTGTTCAAGTGTGTAGGTAAGTTCTAGTACAAAATAGAACAGATGGGTGTCAGCCCTAACCATCCCAATACCTGTTTACAACACACTATAACCCCACTATCGGACGTGTGTGATCCAGAAACGTATTACGTACCGGATTCGAGTTTCGTTCGTTTAATTTCACTCTTAGTCCGACTGTCCGGCTCTGTTAATCCGGGATTACTGTCGTTTCGTGCCGGATCTAATTCTTATACGATACACTTGCGTGTTTCTTGTCTGTTTTAGACATACAGATTATTATCCTTGTTTCAAAAGGTGTGTGTGAATTTGTTATATGAACTGTCTGTTCCAATGTTTTTCCTTAGTTAAGATCTGTAGGGTTTGTTCCAAATATAACTACAATAACCAATAATGTGTTGAAAATAATTAGGCGATTCAATTGTAGCGTTAGTATGACGTAAGTTTAGATAATACCAAAGGCTTGCTATAAATTGCAAATAGCTTGCTTTAGGGAATACACCTGACGTTGTTTAAAGTTAATGTAATAAATAATACAACATGTGTTTGTAGTTCTGTATTTTGCATTTACGAGTTTATTTCATCCTGGTTTCCAAGAAATTCCTTTGTTACCTACATGCTATAATTTGTTAAAGCCATTAACAGATCGAATGCAGGAAGTATGGTCCTGATTTTAGTATTATGAAGTACCAAGAGTATATTTCTTACAAACAAATTCATTGTTATCATAAACTCAACCAGATGATATTTGTATATTGATAGAATCTGTTTGCTTTATTATATCTTGAAGTCTACCCAGGAATAGATGGATTAATAAATTAGACCGTAAACTATCCTACCACTGGGTGTAGCCCTTTTCTCACCATAGTTTGCGAGAGAGATTAGTCATGTTCGATTGGGTTTATTTCTAGATGGATGAATAAGCTAAAATATTAACACTCCCTTTTAAAAAAAGCATGGTGCTATCGTCACCATAATGTATTATCTCCAGTGAACGTTTAAAATTCGTCGCCTATTCCGGCAGGCTCGTAAATCATCCGTGTCGTGCCATAACTCGCACATGATATATTTGATACACGGCAACTTGGATATTTGCTACCTAGTTGTGGTTGGTTGTGTGTCATACCGTATACTGTAGTCATTTGCCACAAGATGTCAGAGAGTAATCTATCTAGTTATCCTGTTCTGATCTAATGTCGATTGCACTCTGTACTCTGTACATAAAGTTCAATTTTGTTATACTAAGTTCAACTCTTCGAACGTAACCTGTCTAAAACATGTGGAGCCTAGCAAACTTTCATAGTATCCGAATCGTGTGGAGATACGATTTAAACTTAAACCTCCGTTTAAAGTTCCCAAACCCAGTCTTCGAAACAAAATGAAAACGTAGCGCAGGATCTGCATCATATTCGAAAAGTTTCCCATTTCCCGCTTTTATATTTTCAATTCTGAATGTAAATTTTATGTCGGTAAAGCGCTGCCGCCCTAGTTCGGTGGGAATACAAAATTGAACGCGAGTTTCCGAGAGACGGACGCGCAAATTTATTTCAACACAGATTTTTGAATAAAAGCATAATGTAATACGAAAATGTTTGAGCACACTTAAAATTGTTTGCCTGCTGATGAAAGCGGATATCCTGGCGACGAAGGTTCATAAACATAGTTTTAGCAAAATATTTTATTTAAACTCAAGCTTCATACAGTGGACACTCATGGTCAGGTCAGTACATTATTTGTTTTATCAAAGCAACGCCGAATATGTCTAAATCGTTTACCTGACCAGGGAAATGGAAGGGGGAGTATCTCCTGACTTCTTCCAGCTTATAGGCTTTGCCCACGTGTGGGAATATTGGAGGAATCTTCCTGGTCTCGCTCTGGTTGGCTGGTTCCACTGATTTGTCACATTTCTTCTTCTCAGGTACATTTAAACGAAACGTGCGTGTTAGGTCGTATCTCCATATGTAATCTGTAGCTGGGACCGCAACACTCTTGACAATTTTCGTTTCACGTCTGTAGACAAAAAAGTAGTCTTAGCGATAATAAAAACAAGGGCAATCTTTGTTTTTTGTAGACTATACCTATAGTTATTAAAATACACGACTGACACACAATACTAGATGACATCATAATAGAATTCAAGATCAGTATCCAGCTGTAACGTTCTCAATAAGGAATTTGTATAAGAGTATATACTTTTATAGTACCTCTAATATGGGTTTTAAGTACAGACGCAGCATATCAAGCTATCTCTATCTGCCAATAGACTATAAACTTTACAATTTTTGCAATAAGGTAGCAAATGTATTAAATAATTTCGAGATATTAGCATGTGAACGTGATACATAAGACCCTGACTTCTGTGACCCTGGTACACTTGGTACCGTTACTTGAACTAGTCGTACATCTGATGCATTTTATTATTGCCGTTGATATTATGTGTCCTTTCTAATAGTTGTTTTAATGAAATGTCCAGTTTATATTGAGGAAATGTATAAATATAATGTGTGTAATCGTAAATTATTGACTGCACGGTTGGTGCGGTGCCTGGTCAACAGGCTGCCACGCAGCGTCTAGCGGGTCCGATTCCCGTACGGAGCAACATTTTGTGTGATTCACAAATTGTTTCGGGTCTGGGTGTGATGTGTATGTGGACTTGTACGTTTGTAAACGTACCAATGACACAGGAGAAAATCCTAGGGTTCCACATTTAGAAAAAAAGGGTTTATACTTTTTATATTCCAGAGGATACTGGAATCTAGTCTTCTCTAGTAGATTAGTTGATGTAAGAATTTATGTACTTGGCGTATAATGCTCGTAACGAACTTCTCAACAAAGTTCGTCTCACTATTTTGTACACAGAATTAATACGTAACTCCTTAATTGGAGTCTAGTACAATAAGTTTGCAGTTTGCATACAAGTTTAACGTAGCTTGGGGCGATCTTTAGAACAGATTTTCTTAATAGAGAAAAAACTAGTGGAATTAAATACATTTCTGAACTACTTATTTATTAATCAATTCCCTGTTTGACGGTCCACCATTCACTCAAGTATGTAATGAAGTATAATCAAAACAAACAGCCGAATGCTCAAACAAACATAACGTTGATTAGACGTATCAGTAGCTAATGCTATCACACACGAGCTCGCAACAACACCTTAATTGTATCATGTTTGTATCTCAGACCGTGGGTAATTAGTTTGGCTTCCAATTGCCTCCCGTATCAAACTACTTGTTTCACCCGGTGACGCGTGCCAACTGTACTGACGTAATTGTAGTAACGTATCGTGTAATTCATGGGGAAATTATTGTTTAATAGTAACTGTATTATTAGTGAAATAATCATGTCAACATGTTTTGAAAGGTTGGGTGAAGCGAATTTAGTTGTAAAGGGTTAGGTTTTAGAGTATGTTTTTGATTGTAAAGTTATTTTGCTGGATATGAACGTAGATTATTGTATGATTTTAATTCGTGCTAGAATTATCCACAAGTGTCGTTGTATGTGACCTAAGGTTGGTTGCTCAATAGTGAAGGTTGCTAGTATCAAACTATTTGTCTTTTATGACTGCAATCGTTATAGGTAGGACAAACAGGATCTCGGGCAACACTCCTATCATCTTGTGAGCATAAAAAGTAATCTTTATTGCATAGGAATGATAAAGGAAATTGAACTTTAAGCACTACAAATATTTTGTTACTACGATCAGAATAATCTGTCTCTACCAAGATATTGTAATGGAAAATACTTCATGGAAGATGCACGTTAAGCTCAAAATAGGAAGCTGTGTTTAGGGAGCAAATATTCCCTGAACTTATATTAGCTTCGTTTAGTTTCGCTGAAATATCCTCGTTATTTAAACACATCCGTTGGGTAGTGTTTGCTTGCACTATCAAAGTGTACTACCCTCAGGAGACGAGCAGTTTTCTTACAATTTTGAACTTTTTACGGAAGTCAATAGTATGGGCAAATATGGTTCTTTCGGTTGGGATTAAGTTGAGACCTTTTTGTTATTTATTAATGAAGTAGCCTTTGTTTTGTCGTAATTGATTAGTGTAGATTGTACTTGAATTTCTTTTGTAAGGGGATTAAATTATTCAGTGACTTATTTGGGTGCGGAGAGAGTGTCAGGCTCATACTGACTAAAAACCACCCCGTTTCTGCTCCTGCACTTCGAGGCGGAGCCCCGGCATCAGCCCTATTGGCCTTCATCTATGATGTACTTTAGCACAGATTATATTATGAAAGGTAAATTCAAAATTGTGGTACTATGGTGGTATAGAAACGAGACACATCAAAAGTACATTATCATCAAGTTCTTTAATAATAAGGAACCAGTTCATGGTCCAGCTTGATATTGTAAGAGAGATTGCCTTATACTAATAATAAATCATTTTTCCTGTTCTGAATGATAAGTTGATTCTGATGAACTTTATATTACATATTTTAACAAATTTGCTTCAAAATCATCTGCAAAATTGTACTAAATTGCTCATTAAATAGTGTCTCTTAATATTTTAACTTGTATAGTGCCATTTATTGTGTACATTGTGAATCCTTGGCACTGGTTGTGCTTGTTAGTTGGTGGAACGTGACTGGGGGCGCGAACTTCCATCGCATTCATTCTCTGACGGATCGCACTCGATTAAATTGCACATAGTTGGCGCTTGCAACGAATATTTGGACCACAGAATTGTGTGACTGAATTGATATGGTTCGGGTTTTTTTGTGAACGTTACAGCTATTAATAATTTTAGATTTGTAGCCTCGAGGCTTCACATACCTCGTATATATCGTTTGTATCTATACCAATTTTTTAAACGCCTCATTCTTGCATAATTACTCTTACATTAAATAAGTACAGCTTCTTTCAATAGTTACCTGCACAGAGTATCCCTAATAACGCCAGTAGAAGCACGGAACATAATTCCGTTGGTAACAAAATAATATTATTTTACAAATTATTTCAAAAACCGTCCGGGCGACTGGCTACATGCGTTTGACAAGTTGACAGGTGATACATTGACAGGTGAATGGTCGTTCTGAATTCGAAACTTGTGAATATTGCAAAGGTTTTATATGTTTGATTGAATTTTTATTTTGTATTGATGGATTTGTTTAGTTTTTTTAACGTATAAAATCGACCTATTATAAACTTTCTGCTACTGTTTTTGTAGTTCTAAAGAACATAAGCCTTTCCTAAACGAAACAATAAACCAAAATTATCAACAAAACCATCTCAAGTAACCTAATATTCCTTAATCTACGTTACAATTTAAACCTTATTGCTTGAAAGCACGACAGAATTTACCTCTCTATTAGTATTAGCACGATAGGCCAGTGTCGTTGACCTAGTGCTGGGTCTACATAGATTGCAGTTGATGCAATTATGGTGATGGTATACTGAGGGGGTTTTCCGATGACGTGGACAGGCCTAATGACTTCCTTCACCGATTGGGTAATAGTTCGTCTTGTTTGAGAGAGGATGAGAGTAACGAACGCTGATTAGTTGATGATTTTTGTTGAGTTTTTAAGTGTGGGAGAGCCAAGCTTCGGCACGAATGGGCCGGCTCGACCGGAGTGATACCGCGGCTTCACAGAAAACGACGTGAAGCAACGCTTGCGTTGTGTTTTGTCGTATGAGTGAGGTTACCGGAGGCCCAATTACCCTCCCCTTCCCAAATCTCCTCAATCCCTGAATCCCCAACGACCCTCAAACTCCTAATCCCCAAAAGGCAGGTAACGCACTTGTAATGCCTCTGGTGTTCCAGGTGTCCATGGGCGACGCCGATTGCTTACCATTAGGTGATCCGTCTGCTCGTTTACCGGCTTATGCCATAAAAAAAGTTCATTGGCTATTATGCTGCATTTGTTTGGGATTGGATGGCATATTACCTTATGATAAATGATCAATACTGCTCGTAGACACCCGGAACACCCAAGAACTTACAAGTACGTTGCCGACACGACAATATTCTAAATTATATTCGACACGAGTTTGTCTATTTAAAGATTATTGTTATCTCAAACGAACACGAAAAATTTCACGTAAAAATGAAAATTTCATTTAGCAAAGCGGAATTCCGATCTCATTTCCGTCCATCGTATGTAAATGAAAAAACTCCATATTACATATTCCTTGAATGTCAAATGATCATAAAGCATCGCTTCTGGATAAAGACACGTGTTCCTAATATGTTTATGAAAAGTACTCACTTTGTATCTTGCTAAAGTTTCAGGAATATTCAGTATTTAGGTACTCGTTGATCGCTTTCTTCCATATTTCAATAAATAATTAGGGCACTGTAAATTATTCCATCCATAACATCACGCATTTTATCCCTGAAAGGTGCACATTACGGCACTTAATGCCACTGTACAATGTGAAAACTGTGTGCAGTTTTCACTATTTATGTTGTGAGTCCCATGTTAAAGAGGATGAGCTTATTGCCATATACCGGGCACAATTGCAGACTGCAGGCTTTTTTTAACTAACAGGCTAACAGGCTTTTTTTTAATTATCAGTAGTAACTGATACTTAAAAAAAAGCCTGTTAATACTTTGCCCGACCTGCGAATCTAACCTGAGACCCATTGCTCGCCAGTCCCACTTGCGACCACGTGGCCAACGAGGCAGTTTTCATATACGAAATGCAAATTGAGCAGAAATATCGTATGAGGTGTACAAATACATAATAAATGTAGATAGTACTTATACAATGCTCGTACATCGCGATATTACATTGTATTCAGCCGGAGTATTCGAAATCACATTAGCACTCACATTTAGATGTTACGAGAAATGGAAAATTGTTCTCGAATTCTGTTAGATATCTTTATATTTTAGTAATCTGTTATTTTCATAATGATACTGCACGGTTGGCGCGGTGGCTGGGCAACTGGCTGCCGCGCAACGTGTCGCGGGTTAAATTCCCGCACGGAACAACTCTGTTTGATCTACATATTGTTGTTACGGGTCAGGGTCTCATGTGTATTTATATACTGATAACTGAGTGTGCCATTGTATTAATTGTACAGACACTTCAGTCCAGTCTTTTAAAAGCATATAGTAATATATGAAAATAATTCCTTTACAAGTGATACAATAGCTCACAATTTCAAACATGGACCTTTTAACATTTGTAACAAAAAAGGTTATAATATTAAAAAGTTAACTATTGTTACAAAACCTTTCCATTTACAGAAGGCCCTTTCAGATGTACCTTTTTTCTAATATATTGCGGGTACATTATTTCTACATTGTTACCGTTTTTGCTTATTTCAGAGAGAGCCAGTACTGTAATTGTGTAGTAAAAGTTTTTCTTTCGATTGAAGTGTGTTTCAGAGCTTTTTCATGTACTAGATTATTGATTGGTGTAGGACCTGTGATTATTGTGCTTTGTGTAAATGTTTATATGTATATTTATGTATGAATAATTATTATTGTAATTGTAGCCTGGTAAATACAGCTCCTTTACGTCTGTGATGATATGACTGAAAAATTAATGAATTTTCAATTAACTTCCTACGGATAAGCCGGTAAACCACCAGACTGATCACCTAATGGTAAGCCATCGGCGTTGCCTATATTATTATGTACACTCGGAACATCAGAGGCGTTACAAAGGCCTCGCGTTTTGGAGATTAGGAATTTGAGTGGTTGGGGATTCAGGGATTGGGGAGACAGTGAAGGGGGGGGGGGTTATTGGGTAAAGTAATGTTTAAATTATACCCAAACCATTTAAGCGTATGTTTACCTATTACCATGAAATTCTATTAAGTATTACCACATCATAAAATATACATTAGACTAAAGTAACAAGAAATTAAATAAAAAATACCATTATCCTGAAAAAGGTTTTTGCTTAGCTTCTACTATTTATACTGGGAACGTTAATGTACTTTTTTTCTTCAGTACATAGCTAAGACAAATTGAATATACGAAGAATTAACTTTGACAAACGTTTTTTGCTTACATATACATACTTAGGTACTTTATAAATTTGTAGAAGTATTATAATTATAATACACATGTATATAATTTTCTATATATAAATCTGTAAACATATACATATATTTATTTTTGTAACACCATGTATCAAGGACGGCTGGATTATTTTCATGAAAATTTATTTTTTTAATTTGTAGAACTTATTTTTTTAAAAGAGTAACAAATGGAGTTTCTTGCCGTTCTTTTCCATTCGAATCTACATTTTGGAATGAGCACCTACCTTCACCTAGCTTCACTAACGGACTGACTGAGAGACTATAATTTATTGTGTATTTGTTGCCGTTTCAAAGTACCAAATTATGGTTTAATTGAAATAAATGCTTTGACTTTAACTTTGTTTGTATAACTATTGAATAATTCTTGTCATCTACCACAGATTTTATTTACTCGTAAACTTGAAATAGTTAAATATATACTTATATAAAAGATGCCTTTGCACTGCAGTGGACAATCATGGCTGAAAAAAAAATACATATATATATACTTGTACGCAAGAGTTTCATTGAACACATAGCGCGGCTCAGTGCAATCGTTTACCGTTCAACAAAGTAGACTGAGCGCAAATACGCAAATACGGGCTTCATCAGAACAGCGCAAGATCAATTAGACTAGACGCTGCGTGTGTACCCTCTCTCGACTCTTGAGTTCTCTGATCTGGATCTCGAGTTGAGTAAATGCCACATTGAGTGGAACTGTAATAAAAGACGTTTGTATCGTCGACACTCTTGTAAAATAGATGGTTCAATCAAAGTGTGGGAGAGCCATGCTTCGGCACGAATGGGCCGGCTCGACCGGATTGATACCACGGCCTCACAGAAAACCGACGTGAAGCAACGCTTGCGTTGTGTTTCGTCGTGTGAGTGAGGTTACCGGAAGCCCAATTACCCTCCCCTTCCCCAATCTCCCCAATCCCTGAATCCCCAACGATCCTCAAACTCCTAATCCCCAAAAAGCCGGTAATGCACTTGTAACACCTCTGGTGTTCCAGGTGTCCATGGGCGACGCCGATTGCTTACCATCAGGTGATCCGTCTGCTCGTTTACCGGCTTATGCCATAAAAAAAATCAATTTTGGGAAAATAATCTTGAAATTAACTTCTATATTCTAAAATTCTGTCAGATTCATATTTACAAATATTAAAAAATATAACATTTTCTGATGCCTAATGTGCCAAATTTCAAGAGAATATACATGAAAGAGCAGGAACACTATGATTTGACCTGCGCACTATGTTTTTGAACAATGCGGTAAATGATTTTTAACGGATTGGCAGTTCCTGAGGTAAGCACATAACAAACAATTCAGCACCATGTTATCATGTAGGTATATCTAATTGTCTGTTGATGTGACTTATCTCCTCAGTTGTCACCACATATAGCTTCATATTGTAACTGTACCAACCAGTATCTGATCCCCATTGAATGCAGATTCAACATTCATAATACAGTAATGACATGTTCTAATTAATCCTGTCACTCAAACCGAATGCGGTGACATTGCAATATGTCATCGTTTGACATTAACTGAAGCGAGGGTTTAATAATAATTAAGACGGGTTTAACCCATTTGGGACCAAATGCAAACTACACATAATTTAATAAAAAAAACTTTATTAACTCAATGATATGACGCCCACAAACTAATATCAGCAAAAAAAATTCAAAAAATATTTTTAGAATTATTAAAAAAAATACCGTCCTTGATTGGGGACAACGGTCTCATGTGTAGTACTTTTCGAAGTAGTAACTGTTTTCGATACATAAGGTTCTAACGCGTTATTTGCGTTGATATCACAGTTTTTTTATGATGAACTGCGTATCGTAATAGATATTAACTAAATCTCTGCGAAAAATGTCTAAATCAATTTGATGTGACGCGCCTATATTTTTTTTTTGAGGTTAAAAATCATGCATTG